ATGTATTTTTATATATATATATACAGTCAGCCCCCCTCCAAAACAAAACAACTGAAGGACATGACATATCTTGTTAAAAGAGTGGGAAACCACATATGTGCTGTGCACAACACTGAAAGAACAATCTTTAGGTCAGTAAGACTTTAACCAGATCAGGTGGCCCGAAGAGGTAACTTTGTGCCGCAGCACTGCCTACACATAAGTAGGCTGCCTCTTCCTGCTGTAATGGTGTCCAATACCAGAAAGGACACTGTGAAAAATGTCATGAACTACAGTACTTATCAGAAGTATTTCCAGTACACTGAGAAACCAATTTAAGGAGAAGATCACATGTAACTAGATGTAACTAGAAAGAATGCTCTGTGTAAAGGCCCAGACTGACCAGTGACACCCAAGGGACGGATCGTATACTCATTGATCGTGAAGCCCATTTCCAGAGCACGAGTTCTCATGTTCTTATTGAATATATCGCTTCCTGTGAAATACAGTACACCACAGTAATACTGATCTTTGGGGATAAGCCTAGAATAAAAGTAGAAGAAAAGTACAGATTTATAACAAATATACAACAAAAAAGTTACAAGCCATTTGGAATTCAACCATTCAGACACTGTTCTAGGTTTACTTCCTATTTATGTGCACACATTCTGCAACTCTCTACATTTGATTTTCTGACAAGCCAGATGCAAGAATGAAATTAATTGCACATCAAAGAAAGGTTCAGTACATCTACCTTGACCCAGAAGTTACTGGTGTTCAGCCACTACACGGTTACAGTACTTGCACTCCTGCCAAGAGTTAATGTCAAAGCAGTATGATAAAGTAGGTCACAATTCTGAAACTGGATATAAAGTCATGATTTAAAGTACAGCATTCTTGCTAATAACCTGTTGTAGATACTGGCAGTTGTACAGTGGCTTCCATACTGCAAAGGAATTAGAAACCTAGTAAATGCCATGTTCTAAACATGGGAGTAGAAATTTGAATGCAGAACTTGATGCAGATGCCTACTACGTAGCAGACAGCTAAAGTAGGGGTTTTTGGTGTGTGTACCGGATATCAATTCTCCTATGTGGATAGGCTGTTCCATCTTCTTTATTTGGCAGCTGACAGACACCCTGTGAGGAAGTAAGGAAAGCAAGAAATTCAAAGTGAAATTAAACAGATTTAAATCAATCTTCACCTCCCCACCCCTAAACAACCTCTAAACAATCCTCAGTCATCCTGGAGAACAAAGTTAAATTCCCACTGAACCAATTAAATATTTTACTAGAACAGCTAGATGTCACAGTACCGTAAATCACTATTTTACAGTGCTAAGAGGACCATAGTTTAATGTAGCATATAACTGCCGCTTAAGTTTTTATTACAGCAGGAAGGATCACGGGACTTCTCATTTCCCATTCCTCTGCCCTAATTGTTATCAGGCTTTTCAGTATGCACAAACATCAGCAGGTTAAGGAAAACACAGACAAAGCTCAAGCTAATATAAATGAAAAAAAAAAAAAAAAGCTTTTTCTTGAGAAATTCTCTGCCACTTCTCATTTCAAATTGCCTTGTAATCTTCATGCAATTCACATATCAACCATTTCTTTTTTTCCCTAGTCTATGATCACCTTAAATGACAATGCAGTGTGTGTGTGTGGGGGGCACGAGCTGTAAGAAATCATGAGAAATGTCTACATACTAAATCGTTTCACCAATTGCAGCTTCATGCTGAGACTTCTCTTTCTATTCTTAGCTTTGTTTTGAAAGCTTAACATTGCTTATGCTTTTAAAGTTACATTGTCTGTCTCCTTACTGAGACTTGCTTTTCTCAGATTCTCAGCTGCAGTCACATTTCCCTTTTTACAACATTCCCTTCCTAGCTTCCACTTGGAAGACAAGAGCTATTCCACAACTATTTAAGATTGACAGGATTACACAGAGCAAATGGTCAAACTATAATGAGCTTGTCAAACTGTGAATGCAAACCGGGAATGCAGAGTGTCTCTGCTTTTGGCTCACAGATGTACACTTAGCTTTAAACCCATGCAGTATTCACACTTAAAACCATTTGGCAAGAATGAAAGTGACTTTCACTTATTCCTCCTAAAGATCAAGCCAAAAAAAAAGCCATCAAGCTTCATTCCCTCTCAGAATGCAGCATGAACTAAACTGAAGGCAAATTCTCAGAGTTCTTTTAGCTCTTATTTTAAGCAAAACCAAACAAAAAAATAAAATAATCAAGTGCTCCAACAGCCCCTTTCATCTTGGGAAAGCAAGTATCTTTAACTGTAGTATTATATATTTAAGTATTTATGCCTTACAAAAGATTAGCTGAATATAACGGAATCTTGATTCTTGCCTAGAAGTCCCTAAGTCACGGACCTTTGGTGAACCCGCCTGCAGGGCCACTCCTCTGAGCTTCCAAGGAATTCCATAAAGCCAGCACGAGTGACTGACAGGAACTAACTACTCCTTATTTCCACTCAGTATTGCTTACGCTTCTACACTTCTCTGTTAGAATTAACTTTTAACCAGCCTGTAAGACCAGGATACCTGGGGCCTGTAAAGAAAACTAAGTGAAGCAAGATAACACCCAATACACATGTTTAAGGAAAAAAAGGTTTTGCTGTGAGCAAGGGACCTAACAAAATTAATGTTCCTGTAATTCATTACTTTCTTTAGGCATCCCATATATTCCCTATTATATCCCAAATCTAGCAGTTTATCCAATAAACCTGCTCTGCAACAAAATTGACAAAAAAGGAGATTTTATCTCCTATATTATATATTAGACAAAACAAGGTAAACATAGGCCTGAGATGAACGATAGTGTTTCCAGGATCTTGAGGACAGAGTTACAAAAGTGGTCACTGGTGCAACTGAAGAAGTGAGGTTGTGCTAAGGTTCTGGAGAAACATCAAGCAAAACAGAGACACAATTGGCATCGTATGATGAAGGTTATGTCAGTGGGGTTCAGAACTACATAAATACCTGTAGATTTTCTAATACTGAAATCTTACTGTGAGAGATTCACTGAGAGTTAACGGCAGAAAGTTTTTATGGGGGGAAGGGAGGGAATTAGAAAAAAAAAAAAAATCACAACTCCAGCATTCCAAGCAACATATCTTGTATATATCCTAGCTTCTGTCAGGAAGGGTAATCCCCCCAACGTCCCTCACCACCAAAAAAGCCTTACCATGAATTTGGTGTCACCTTTAGACAGCATATCTGTGACAAAGTGGACTTTTTCCAGTTGTTCTACAACTTGACGCAGAAGTTTTGACTAAGAACAGCGATAACAGAGAAGAAGAAATTATTTCACAAATACCAAAAATATCTTATCCATTTACCAGACAATGGCCCAGACAAGTACAGGACATCACTATAATTGTATGTATTATTGTACATGAAATTTGACCCAGAGGGGAAAAAAAGATAACAATAATGCTGAGAAAGAGCTCATAAAATGACAGCTGTGCAATGTAAAAAAAATTTCCACCTAATTCCCCATGTCAGATTGCTTTCATTGGAAGTGACAAAACTCGCCTCTTGGTTTGAGTTTTAAGCAATGAATCTATAGAAGCAACACAAGAAATATGAACTGTCATTAAGACTTCTCCAGAGTTAGTCCCAAAAGATTACAAGGGCAGCAGGACATTTGCTTCTTGTGCAAAAGATTATGTCTACATAAAGAGATACTTTACCTTTAATCTCTGCTTTATCCAGCTTGCTGTTACAGTTCGAAGTTGTAAAAGCACATGAATTTGAGGGGGTGGGGGGAGTGTGTGTGAAGGGAAGAGGAGGGGCAGAAGGATAAGAGTAAACACACTGAACAGTTCTGGAAGAGGAACACAACATAATACATGGACTGAGAAGCGATTATAACTCCTCAAAATAAACATGGTGATCCAGGAGAAGAGTTTACTATTACCGCAACAAAAAGATGCAAGAAGCTGCAGTACAAGGCTGAGACTACGTATCTTCTGAATTTAAACATACCCTTGTGGAAGTAATACACAGTACTAGCCCACAGTGGCAGAGAAACACACCTGTTTGGATGACTCAGATGTGAAACTTGGATGGGTTAGGAGAACATCCATATCGCCACTTGACTCTGCGCCTAGGCAAGTAAGAAGCACAGAAAAATCCCTCTGCGTATGACAAAGTACACTAACATTGGTGAACATTCATCTAACCTCTTCCTATAAACATGTTCTTCTGGTAGAAAATACTCAGTCACCATTCAAGATATTTGAGAAAAAGAGATCTTAAAGTAAAAGAACCTTGTTCTTGCATCAAAAAGTTTATATCCCCACACATCTCAGAAAATACCCAAGAATTTCTTGTTGTACTCTATAGCGATGAAGCACAAATGTTGTTAATGTAAAAGCAAAGCAAACAATTCACACGTTACGATGTACTACTCTTTATGGGGGCAGGATGGAGAAGCAAGGATTTATGCAGGTGTTTCGTCACTGAACTAACCAGTCAAGACGATAATAACATGAAAAAGCCAGGTTCCAGCATAGACTTTATCTCTAGAAGAACAACATCTATAGTAATGAGTCTTACTTATTAGCCCAAAATAAACATAACAAGATCACAGAGTACCAACCTCGTCTAAAACTGCCACAGACTGTAGCAATATAGTTTGGGTCCAGCTTATTTACCTCCTTCAGCACAATTTCCTGTGTAAAAAGGAAAGATGTGTTGTCCTGGTTTCGGCTGGGATAGAGTTAATTTTCTCCCTAGTAGCAGGCACAGTGCTGTGGTTTGGATTTAGGATGAGAAGAATGTTGATAACACACTGATGGTTTAGCTGCTGCTCAGTGCTGCTTATGCCAGGCAAGGACTTTTCAGCTTCCCATGCTCTGCCGGGGGCACAAGAAACTGGGAGGGGGCACAGCCAGAATAGTTGATCCAAACTGCCCCAAGGGCTATTCCATACCATACGGCATCATGCTCAGTATAGAAACTGGGGGGTGGGGGGGTGGCCAGGGAGCAGCAGTCGCTGCTCAGGAACTGTCTGGGTATCGGTCGGCAGGCAGTGAGCAATTGCATTGTGTATCACTTGCTTTGTATATTGTTATTATTATCATTATTGTATTATTATTATCATTACTATTTTACTTTATTTCAATTATTAAACTGTTCTTATCTCACGCCAGGAGTGTTTCTCACTCTCACTCCTCCGATTCTCTCCCCCACCCCATTGGGGCAGGGACAGTGAGTGAGCGGCTGCGTGGTGCTGAGCTGCTGGCTGGGGCTGAACCACAACACATGTGTTTAGAGGTGTCAGTTGTTCATTGGCCACCAGTGCCTCACGTCCTCGATAAAGACATTCTTACCTGCATTTGCAGCATTTCTTCCCTCGGGATTCTTTTCTCAAAGTCTTCAAAGTATCTGCATATATAAAAATAAAAGTGTCTGAAAGAGCGGCAAGGGTAGCATCTTAAAATTTTAGTCAATTAAATGTGTATCAGAGGAAAGAATACAACTTATATTACTGTCACATCACAAAAAGCTCCCCATTCTCACCAAACATCTTAGAAAACATCTTGCCAAGCGATGGTAAAAACTCACAACTGCAAGTTTGACAATGCTTAGAAGACAGTTTCATGGCATATTATTTCCACTGTATATGAAGAACTGCTATGAGGTGGGAGTAATATTACTGTATAACCAATTGGTTTATATTTACATAGCCCCTGAAAACACAAAAGGTTCCTGACAAAACTCAGTCCACCAGCAAGCAGGAGGTACAGGTCCCTCACCCACAGTCAGAGGTGATCTATGTTGGAAACAGCTAAATGAAAGCTCACAAGTCAAATACAGCTCCCGATATCTTGGCATGCAGCTGTAAAAAACAGACTGCCAGCATGCTGCTTGACTGTGGAGAAAGAGAGGCCAGGTGAAACAATGACGTGCCTGATCAGCAGGCACATTCTTCACCTCTCCAGCACCAGAAACATTGACAGCAGGCACTGGCAGCCATACTGCAGCCTCGGAGCCACACACGTTCCCCGACACTCATCACCCAACCATCCCAATCCAAAGCTCTGCAGACAGAGCTTCTGGATATGGGACTCCCCCCGCGCCCACCTCCCTCAAAGAGCTGCAGTGGAACTAGGGACGAAAAGACCACAATAGAGCGGTGAAGCCATTCTTTTAGCTCAGCACTTACCAGAGTTTCTGAAACAACATCCGAGCACAACGTTGGAAGCAGACCCAAGGGCAATGTGTGCACTAGCAACACAGACAGGTCAGGTGAGTTTTCTTATACTCACTTAACAGGGAAAGGTTTTCCCTTGAATGCTCACACATATAAAGGCAGGGATGCACACTGGGTATGGGGCTCAGATGAGCAGCGGGAAGATGACAATCATTAGGTAACCCTTCTCACTCACTGCAAGCATTTCGTCCAGATCACATATTCCGCATCTCTGCCTCTGATGTGGAAATGCTAGAGCTGGGCCCTACACAGAACCAGTCCAGATATAGGGCTTTATTTGGTTCATTTGCAGCTTCTTGCAAACACAGCCATACTTCTTCCAGAACTAGCACACTGGAACAGCCACTCAGCAAGCACCATTCAAGCTGGTAAGTACTCACATTCTGCATTAGCATTCTCAAGTTCAGACATGCAAAGGTCTTACCTTGCTCACAACACATAATAAAAAATAGCCCGGGCCACTTTTATGCAGATTGCCAAGAAACATCATTGCAACCTTGCTAAAGCGATTCTCCATGAGCTAACTGAAAGAGTCATTTGCAATTAATTCCTTCTGGATGGAGACTAAGCCTCCTGAATTTCAACCCCAATGAAACAAAAGCTCTGAGTAACTGCTGAAAAGCATGTAGAGCACACAGAGAGAACAGAACCCTACTTGGCCTGCATAACCTTACATTACAACCTGGTGTCTGAAAGAGTCATTAGAAAAGCCAAGCACTTGCACCCAAGAAAGCTTACTTCAACCCAATTCGCTGGTGATGTGTCAGCTTGTGCTCATTTTTCCTTAGATCTAGAAGAATTAAGAAAAACAAACAAACAAAAAAATTACTTGAGGACTAAAAATCTTACAGTAAGTTTCCACCAATGCAAAGATGATACATGCAAAGCATATGTAACAAGAAAACAGCAACCTCAAACACAAAGGAAGAGATTTCAAACCAACTACGCAACAGCTGATAGGATGCATACAGCACTTCCCGACAAGGACTTCAGTAAACCATTCACCTTAAAGCCAAAATCCTTGTAATCTTCCATGTAATCTGTAAGTACTTTATTTTGGATAGGTATGTAATGCCTTTAGCCTGTGCGCTAACTTTAGCATCTTATACGCTTTCCTCAAAGCCTAAGGCATAATTGCTATCACAGTACCACCGTGGAACAGGCAGCTTGACAGAAAAAAACAGTACCGGAGTGTAAACTGAGTACCCAAGGTTACACTTACCTTCTAAAGTCTTAATTCCTTCCTCAACAAACTTCCTAGCAGCAGCAGGACTGCAAAGAGAGAAGGCAATCTGCCATCAGGAACAGCAAGAGTCTTACAACACCGCAAAGGACATTAGAATTCACTGTAACTGCCTAGGTTCTTCAAGGCCAAGACTGAAGTCGCTTCTGATGCTTACCCTCTTTTCAGCATATGCATTTTCAGTTTGTACTTTCAACCAGCAGAGATAGCTATTCCAGGCTTGACCTGCACATTTTTTAGCATTGATCTAACTATATAGCGATGTATGATTGTAAAAAATAAACAAGATCTCACTAAATCGGCAATATTGCTTTAGACAACAATAGCAAATGCATAATAAGAACTACTTTAACCACAATCAGTCTCTGAACCAGCTTAAGGCAACAGCAACACAAAAATGTCTTTAAACTAGCATTTCAAAAACCCCAACAAGGCTCTAGTTTGCAACCTACGGTACAGCAAAGCAGTCCCAGCTCCAACTTGGCTGAAGAGTTTGCCTTAAGCACAACACTCAAGTGAATGGCTGAACCTTTTTCCTTTTTAAGGGTTTGTCATTAGATTAATCTGCGTGACTCTGCAGGGAAAGAACTGTGAGACAGGTATTCAAGTAATGTTATCCAATATCTCAAAACGCTAAAAACCACCAGCCTGGAAGCATAGTCCCTTCCTGGGGAACTAGTCTCCAACTACTCTGGAATCCCATGGTTACAGCTCCACCACACTTGAATCCACTTCCTCAATAAAACTCTTACATTATAATAAAATTATCAGATCTTGACCTGCCATTTACTTCCTTTCTTACCCTTCTCTGCATCTCTTGCCAGATTCCAGACCAAGAGAGGCAACTTCCACTGTCCTGAGACAGGACAGCACCCAAGCTTCTCCTTCTGCATCCCATCCCAATTTCTCAGATGCATTCTCAAATACCAGTATATCCTCAAACTTTGAGCATGTTTTCCCTCAGAATTACTTGAGAATGATCACATTCTCTACCCTTGACCTCAAGGGTTTCAAACATGGCACAAAAGCCCTGACAGTTTTTTTTGTTTGTTCTTGTTTTGTTTCGTTGCCTGTTTCAGGGCTCTACTTCTTTTACAAACACATGCACCATTGTCCCTGGGCCCAACTTCCCACCAAAAGTCCAAAAGGGACTTCTCACTTCCACTCTTCTCAGTCCTTCATGGTTCTGTTCTTGACCAGCTCTTCTTTCCCTCTCAGCTTGCACACAGAAGCTTCGCGCTTCCACTCTTCTACCGCCAAGTCCATAACTAACGAGTCTACACCCTTTCTTCTCGGCCAATCGTGTCATCACAAGTATGGTGTCTCAGAGTGGGCACTACAGCATCAGGTCAGACTCACTCTCTTCATTACTTGCAATCACCCAATTTCTGTTCATAACTCCACCAAATAAACAGAAGGGGGGAAAAAAACTCAAACCAAAAAAACAAACAAAAAAACCTTTACCCAATGCCAGTAACTCGTGTCAGGAAATTGATAGATGCGCTTGTATCATCTTGTCGAATCTGCAAAAACAAAACAACAAACCAAGCCCTTCTTTACTCCATTTGCAATAAACAAAGACTTCTTGATAAAACAGCTTAATCAGACTCTGCTTTGGAGACTCACTATAAGTCAATGCAAAACAGTACCAATGGTAGTACAGTGTATCACAATAATGCCATACATACCAAGCCTGAAAACTGCCTAACTACCCATGCTAAGGTGAACAGCTTGCTTAACCCACAAAACTCCAGGGCTTTCCAGAGTCAGAATTCCACTTCTCACAGGAGACATTCACATGCTGATTATATAACCTAAAATATTTTCATCAATAGACAGTTTTGAGGCTTTGGATGAACTTCTCGTTCCCTGCTTTCTACTTGCCACAGACTCCATGTCCACCATTCCTAAGGTTGACATCAGTCTCTTCAGAATCATAGAATCATTTAGGTTTGAAAAGACCTTTAAGATCATGTAGTCCAACCATTAACCTAACACTACCAAGACAGAAAGACTCTAGGGACAACAACAGAAATCGCACAAGCAAGCAGGCTACTTTGCAAGTTACAAAGAAAAGCAACTATTGAGAAACAGAGCACAAGGGAAAGAAACTCACCTTTTCCAATTTGCGTAGTTTTCCAGTGGATAAGAACTCATCTATCTTCTCAGCTATTTTAGCACCCACTCCATCCTAAATATTGCAGAGGGGAGGGGAGACAAGTTAACTTCAAGGTCATTTAAAGCCATTATATCTAGAAAAAGGGGAAACCTTCTCAGAATTTAGAGCCCAGAAAGAACTACGAGGCCACCGAGACCATGATAAAATACTGGACCGTAAGGGAGCACGAGAATTCAAGAGTACGACACAAGCAGCATGAACACTGTAACTCAAGGGCTATATTAAAAGCTACCCCAAAGCAATAATTTTGAACAAGGCTTTGATTATTACTGCTCAAGTTCCCCAACTTTAGCGAAGCTGTAGCAAAGCAAAAGGGAAACCTGC